GACCAATTGGAGAAGTTATCAACCCAATAGGGCCCATTAAGTCTTGGTCCAATAGGGGTTTGGGCCGAGAATTCTTGGGCTAAGGCCCAAATTTGATTGGACTTGGCTTATTGGATCGAGTTTTGGACTTACATGGGATTGTTTTGGCTTGAATCATAATGTATGAATGTAGGAACTTAAATAGCATTGCCATTTGAATTTCACTAAATGAAATGTTGCAGGGTTACATGGAGGGAATTGTCTTGTAAAAGGATCAAAATCTTAAATCTAATTTGCTAGTTATGACACTAAGTGTACCATGTGTTACTCCCCACATCCTACTCCAAGGACCAAATGTGCAATAATTAAATGTAAAAGGGAAAATAAAGAACATACCCAAATCTAAGTGTTGCAATAATTTTTCCATGCATGAGTTGGTGGTGTTTTGATGAAGTTAGAGATTTAGGGATTTGGTTTGGACACCATTAAACCATGCAAAGTCATAAATGCAGGAACTTTATGACTTAGTACGTACCATATGAATCAGATCTAGAAGTTATACATGTTGTCTTATGACATTAAGAGGTTTGGAGTTGATTTTGGGCTTCAACGGCATACGTTGGGCATTCCAAGTTGGTATGTGGGGCGTACGCACCTGAATGGCTCTTGGGTCATTTTTGGGCCTTGAGTAATTTTGGGTTTGGGCCTTGCTTTGTTAGGCTAAGTATAGGAAGGGTAAAATAGTCTTTTACCCATTGGTATGATATAATATGAATCATACCCTGGACTATGGGAAATTGGCTTAATTATCAATTAAGGATAATTTGGATGTGTTCAGTGTGAGGAACCTGATAGCAACAATGCGTGTCATTCGGTTATCTCTAGACTTAGGCAAGTTTGCTCACTATACTATGGGATACTAGGTTTGTATGTGCTCGTTGTCTTTGTTACTCTTGTTGTATGCATGTATACCTATTTTCTATATGTATGCGGGGTTGAAATAGACCTGGGGGTGCAATCGACTTTTGAAAAATACTGATTGAGTTGAAATAATAGACCCGGTACAACCTTGAGCAGACTTATATGTCTGGTATGCGATATTTTGGAGATCCCATTAAGCTTTGTGCTTACACTTTTATTTTATGGTTTCAGGTACTTCTGTTTTCAAATGAAGGACCCAGTTTGATCGCACTGCATCACCTGAAGATTTATTCCGCATTGACTATTTATAATATTACTCTGATATTTTGAAAATACTTTATTTATGACCAATATTTGGGATAATGAATGAATGGTTTTGACTTATTTAAAAATGAAACTTTTACTTGGTATGTTTGGGGCGTTACAATATTTTATGAAAATAATAATTTTCAGTATTAGTATCAAAATAATATCATAAGATATGATTTATAATGTCATGTACATCTTTTTGAACTTAAAAGGGTTTTGGTATAAAAATATGTACATAACATGTGGTAGTAGGAAAGAGTGTTAAACACTTTTCTTTCTTGTTATAATCAATAAACATGGGGTATTAACAATTATACATGAATGATATTAAGGTCTTTACAGAAGGTTTTTGATCCCCTTCCTTTCTTTCTAGTGAATTAGTCACTTTCCCTATCACTTTCCCTATCCCTTTCCTCTTCTCTCTAAGTGTTAGACTAGAGAAAAGGAGCTTGATACTTACACTCTCCTCTAATATAAAACTGGTTATGTGCTTAAAGGCTTAAGAGCTTCCATATTGCAAGTTATGAACTAACATCGAAGGTCTTAATTACTTGTTGGTGGATACCTTTAGATGAACTTTCTTTTGTGTTCTTGCCATCTCCATCAAATTCTAACCTACTAAGAGGATTCAAAGTCTTTAAAGGTTGTTATTTCTTGAACCTCCTATGACTGTGATCAATCTTTCATGTTCATGCATAATGATCATTGGTTGGTATAAAATAGTTTTATGTTATTCAAATTTGTTTTGCTTCCTTTTCCTATTTTGTCGTTTTTGAAACCAAAATTTTGAATAAAACCCAACAGATAGATGGAGGATTTGTCAATTTTACATTCATGTGAAATGCACGTGAAGTCATGATGACACTTAATGATTCATTTTGATGCCCGTTAGAGTTGGGGATGAAGCTTTCAACGAAATGAAAATTTAGAGACATGTCTATATAATAAGTGGAACAATTCGACTAAATTCATAAACTTTTAGATTTTTTCAAAACATTTACCATACCATAGAGACCATTTCTTTTACTTTACTCTGATAAATAATGGAAACAAGGACTATATATATAAATTACTTTAGTATAATAAATACAAGAACAAATGCAAAGGAATTCCTTCTATCCATCCATAGGAATGATAAGATTTATCTTGGAATCAGAAGAATTTTCATAAAACTGAATCCTCTGCATTTGACAATGAAACAAAGTTGGAAAATAACTCGTTAATATGGCTTTAAGACTGTTTTGATAATGATATTATGTGTTGGGTAAATGATAAACTAACCACACATATATAAAGCGACATGTTTTATAGAGACAATTCTTATTTTCATAGTCTCGAAACCCTATCTACAAACACCATTATTTCATGTATGTAATTTCATCCATAAGAATTGATCACTAAGACACCATCACAAAAGGGAAATGAAAGAATCATATAACATGAGATGTCATCTTCAACATCATTAAAGTTATCATTTTTCCATGTAAGTGTTTTCTTTAGGGTTCTTCATATGTTTATGCATAAATCTATCTTGGATCATGTCTTCAACAAATAAAGTACACAACACAATCTCGAATTCCATTTCGGTTAGAATTTCGGGTTGTTTCCTAACGCATCACCTTGGACGCAAAAACCACTTGGACAACTATGTGGAGCTAAAGTTTCAAGTCAAAGTTTACAATTTTATGTACTAGTAAAATAAGTTTTAGATATTTAAATGTTAAACATCATTAAGTATTGTATAAACAACAGGGAAAATGACTCTTGAGGGTAATTAACTTTTGCGTTTGTACTCATTTGGTCCCTTTTCTTTTTTTTTTGTATTCAATATACCATCGAACTTGTTGTTGGTGTTTACCATAGCCCTTTTGACCGGCTTTTGACCTGTGATAGCCGGTCAAAGGGTTATGGTGAACACAAACAACAAGTTCGATGGTATATTGAGTACAAAAAAAAGGAAAGGGACCAAATGAGAACAAACGCAAGAGTTGGTTACCCTCCTGATTCATTTTCCCTTTACTCATTTACAACAAATCCCACATCATCTCCTACTGATATTAATGACTTTATGATATTCATTCTTGCTTCTCTTCAAAACATAACTCACGAAAGGACATTATTCATGCATGTACAACTTTGTAATGCACTTGAATATTTATTAGGGGAATCTTGACTAAGTAGGCGCATTTCATGACTACATTTACATTTGCAATCAAATGATTTATCGTATCATGGATTCTAGATAAGTCTACAAACGAGTGGAATCACAAGTGCTGTGATTTTTGAGTTTACTTAGCTTTAAGATCGAACTCATGGGATAAGATACAACATCAATATGTACAATATCATGCTGCTTTTGTAGACACATCACCATAATATTGTACATATTGATGTTGTATCTTATGTTGGGTTTTGAGCAATCTAACACTTCCTAAGTGTGCATGCAACCCTAATAAACCTTGGATCTATGTTTGTCTAAATACATGAAAAATAATAATTTTCCAAGGTTCATAACCTATCTAACATGGCATGGGGTACTTTTAAACATAAAAGAATTAGATGAGATTAAGTACCTTTTTGATGAGTTTGATTCTTAAGGAGTTTGAGGGCCAAGCACCAATAGTGTGAATGCCTCAAATGGAATCACAAATCACCACAAACACTTGGAAAACTTTGAGAGAGTGTATACACACTATAATTTCAGCCACACACAAACACACACACTAGTGGCTATTTCATGCAACATAAGCATGCTTATATAGTGTGCATGGTTAGGGTGAAACCCTAATAACCCATGACCTTTCCTTTTCCAAGGATCCATGGGTTAAAAGCTCCATGGATCATCCATGGACTTCCATACAAGCCTAGCCCATTAACAAATGAGTGTTAGCCCACACCATATAAAACCAATAGCCCACAATCTAATTAGTCTTCTTTTTAATCTCTAAATTAATTCATAATTAATTTAAGACTAAGACTAATTAAATAACATGACTTCATATTAATATATTATAACTTATAATATATTAATAATCATATGTGTATAACTCTCATAAAATTATCCATAAATAGTTCGGGTGAAGTGCAACCCAAATGGATCATGCCGAGTCGGATCAAGTATATACCAAATAAGTTATGAACTTAGACACCTTATCCAACATCTTATCCCATGAGTTCGATCTTAAAGCTAAGTAAACTCAAAAATCATAGCACTTGTGATTCCACTCGTTTGTAGACTTATCTAAAATCCATGATACGATAAATCATTTGGTTGCAAATGTAAATGTAGTCATGAAATGCGCCTACTTAGTCAAGATTCTTCCTAATAAATATTCAAGTGCATTACAAAGTTGTACATGCATGAATAATGTCCTTTCGTGAGTTATGTTTTGAAGAGAAGCAAGAATGAATATCATAAAGTCATTAATATCAATAGGAGATGATGTGGGATTTGTCGTAAATGAGTAAAGGGAAAATGAATCAGGAGGGTAACCAACTCTTGCGTTTGTTCTCATTTGGTCCCTTTCCTTTTTTTTTTGTACTCAATATACCATCGAACTTGTTGTTTGTGTTCACCATAACCCTTTGACCGGCTATCACAGGTCAAAAGCCGGTCAAAAGGGCTATGGTAAACACCAACAACAAGTTCGATGGTATATTGAATACAAAAAAAAGGGACCAAATGAGTACAAACGCAAAAGTTAATTACCCTCAAGAGTCATTTTCCCTAAACAACAACATAGCTTGTGTAGGGCTAGTACTTTATTAAACCTATCATAATTTTTCTACCAAATATTTGTGTGACTATAAATTTACCAGAACTAAAATGAGATAAATTGGGGTTGTAGAAGACGCGGTCAAACAAGTTAGATACTTGGGTATCTGTGTTGGAAAAGAAGGGAGGTGGATGATGAACAGTGGGAGCTTGACTGGTGGACGATCATGGCCATCACGGACATCTTTAACGTCGTCGGGGAAGAGAATACAGAAGGAAATGGCAGAACTCAACACGGACCCACCTGCCGATTGTTCCGCTGGCCCCAAAGGCGATAACCTCTATCACTGGGTCGCTACTCTCTTCGGTCCCCAAGGTCGACCCTCCTCAACTCAACTCTTACTGTGTGTTTGACTGTTTTTGATAAATCTGTTACCTTTTTGTTCTAATTTCTTGATTCGGGCGTTCAATTGATTTGATTGAACCCAGTTAATAGCTTCTACGGTAGATGCATCCTTATGAAGAAGGGATTTATGAACTCTGTAATGGTGTGTACTTAATTTCTAAAGCCTTAAAGAAACCTACCAACGATTTTGTGTGGAATTAGGAAAAGATGTTCGATCAAACGCTTTAGAGAAGAAATTCGTATGTTCATTAGCTTTTGCTTCATTTGATTTTAACCCAGTAATTGGCCTGTATGGTAGACGAATCCCTGTGAATAAGGGAGTCATGAACCCTATAATTGTGTTCAGCCATGGTCTAAAGCCTTAAAGAAACCTGCTAACGATTTAGCATGTGATGAGGGAAAGGTGTTCGATCAAATGCTTAAGAGAACAACTTCAAATGTCTTAGAGCTTTATCTTGATTTTGTTTGTTTGTTGTTCTTTTTTTATTTCTTGTAGGAACGCCTTATGATGGAGGAATATACTTTCTTGACATAACATTTCCTGCTAATTATCCTTTTAAGCCACCAAAGGTATGTCCATATCTAAGCTGAATCTACTTTCTTGACATAGGAACTTTCATACAAAAGATTCTGTTATAAATGCCAATCTACTTGCATGTCACCTATCAAAAATCCCAATATCATTCCTTTTTAATCTTTTTTTGGCACTTTATTGATTTGTGGTATTAGGGTGCAGGTTGTTTTCAAAACACGGATATATCATTGCAATGTAGATTCAACAGGCAATGTTAGCTTGGATATCTTGGAGGAAAACAGTTGGAGTCCTGCGTTAACAATTTCAAAGGTGCTACTTGCTTTGAGATCAATCTTCACCAACCCTAACCCTTGTATGTATTTCATTCCTTTTGTTATAGTTTAATCCTAAAATTCCCAATCTTTTAGCATCTTTAAAAATCAGAAATTTGGATAAAGTTGATAATTTTGTTTTTCAATTGTTGCAGATAAACCTCAAGTTCCAGGAATTGCTCATTTGTACTTGGTAGACAGAAGTAAACATGATGCATTAGCTGCAGAATGGACTCAACGATTTGCAAAGTAAAAATTAAGCATTTAGGAAACCAAATAGTCATGTGTGGTTTTAGTTCATATATTATGTAGGAATTATATTATATATTTCATGTATAAGTATGGGCTTTTCTTGTATATTACATTGTAAAATGGCTTAGAAAGTGCATGCTTTTTAAATTTGGAAGATTTTCAAAATTTTAGACACTTTTTTTTTTTTTTTTTTTTTTTTTTTTTTTTTTGTAAAAACCACTTCAGATCTCTTATTGTTGCGTGGTGCAACACACGCGCAATACTTTTTATCTTGCAGCTGTTTGTTTTTAGAAATCTTCGGAGTAAAAAAATTATGCGCATATTCTACTTGGGGCAGTACTTGTATTGTCTCTTTCAATTTTTTTTTCTTGTTAAAATCTTGATGAATTTTGATTATATGTTATTGAAATTTGTTGAATTGTTGTTTCACTTTTTTTTTCCTCGTTTTTTCTGTTTATTCATGCTAAATGGTTTTTGTTTTCGTTTTTTTATATTGAATGCTGATAATTTATTGCTGAAATATCAATATATTTTTTTTTGTTAAAATAACATTATTTTTTTGTTGAAATTTCATACATTACTAGATTTTCGATATTAAAAAATTATTTTCATCATATAAAATCAGATTATTTTACCTTTTTAATATCTGTAGCATGCAAATGTTAAAAAAACAAAAATGATTTTTATTACAGTCTACAGCTGTTTGGTTTACATTTTCTGCTGCAGAGGATTGTAAAGGTTGTTTGCAAACTCATAAAATTTTGTTCAAAAAAAAAAAAACAAACAACACCTTAAATTTAACAACAAAGAACCAGAAGGAGAGCCTATTAAACATTTTGAAACAACATAGCATATTAAACATTTTGAAACAACATGGATCAATGCTGATGACTTAAAAAGTTAATGATTCAACTCGATTTTTTTGGAAACCACATGGATTATTTTTGAAAATCTGTCAAAAGTCTATAAAAAAAAGAAGAAAAAAAAAAAAAAAAAAAACTTTTACACCTACATGGCTATACCTTATTATTGGGTCATAGGTCAAAATTGGAGCCAAATTGCATCGCAAGAAGAGGAAATTATAGTTAAACAAACAGTACAAAATCACAAGTGAACTTAGCTATCTACGATGATTTCAATGACTGTTTTCGAAAAGACAGAATTCTTTGGCTATTTTTTAAAAAATCATTAAAATTTATATTAGATCTGTAACTTTCTAAAAAAAAAAAAAAACAATACCCTGACAGAACCTGGCTTTCCAAAAATGTTGTTTGTTTTTGTTCGTTGAACATAGTAACCATCACATGATTGAATGTATGAGAAGTACTGAGCGCCCATTAACTGCTTCGTTTTTCACCTACACACGCTACTCATTCTCTATCACAGCATGAATCACCTACCCCTATTTCATTATTTTAAGCCCTTCGTGTTTGGACATCATAATAGAAAATGGAAATTCAGATGGATAAAGCTAAACGTATCCACGAATTGGGGCTCCAAGAACTGCTGAACACTGGATTATCAGTACATGATGCGAAATCGCTTCAAATCGAGCTCAAAGAAGCCATTGATCGCACCACTAGCTCCAGCCCAGTTGAGTTATGGCGCGACATTACATCTCGAAGGTTGCTCAAACCATCTTTCCCTCATTCTCTGCATCGTCTCATCTACAACGCCGTTTATGCTGATTACGATGCCTCCATCCATGGCCCTCCTCTGTATTGGTTCCCTTCCGAGTAAGTTATAATGTTGCTTCTGTTTTAGGGATTTTCTTCTGGTGT